GAAAGAAGAAAGTGGAAGGCAGGAGTCTTTGGACTCATTACACTGAGACCATCAGTGATTCCCCAGCCCCCTGCCCTTAACTGAAAGGCTGCCTTCAGATGTGCGCCCTTCTTGTGAGGTGGCAAAGATAGAAAAGAAAAAGTTCTCACACTGAAACCCAAACCAGCTGTACCTATGAATGCTCCAGAAGGACACTGAGATAATAAAGCATAAAAGCTGAATAGAGAATAAGATCTGAGGATCTAATGCATAACATGGTGACTACAGTTGATAATACCGTATTATCTAGTTGGCATTTGCTATGAGAGTAGAAAGTAAACACAAGAAAGGTAACTATGTGAGCTGATGGATGTGTTGATTAACTTGATGGAGGGAACCCTTTCCCAATGGACATGTATATTAACTCTGCACATTGCAAGTATGTTTTCAGTATCTGATCATTTTGTCAGTTTACCTCAATAAAGCTGGGGAAAAAAAAGTCAAAGAGAGAGAAGAACATGAAAGGGAATTTGGAGAGGCTGCTTCAACTTTTCACCATCAACCCAAGTAGCCCTGCACCCCCATCCAGAGGACCAATGGGTCTTTTGTGAAAGATGGCATGGTGGGTGAGGGGTCTATCATTATCTCTGGTAAGAGGAATTCCCTCATTTTCCTTTCTTGCTAACTCTCCACACTTCCATCTCTGGGCCCAGGCTGAGATCTCATCATCTCCTTTTTCCTTCCTCTTGCCCCATGTCCTCGATTTCCCAGCAGGTCCATTTCCCAACTCCTTCACTCATGATCAGCTACTCCTGACTAGCCTTTCCTTTGTGAGCGCCCTGGACTACATCTCAGCAGTGGGTAGTGTTTGCTGCTGGCAGAAGCAAAGGAAGAAAGGATGACACAACTTCTCCAGAACACGCCTGAATAATATACGTGAAGAGTCTTTAATATATTTTATCCTATGACTTATTCTTCTTTCTCTTATCCTAAAGAAGTCAGAAGAGGTTCCAGCATAGTATGAGTAAAAAGGCAATCCAGGCAGATGAAAAAGCTGCAGGAGTTGTGATATTTGTGGCTCTGAGTAACAGGAAACAGCAACAAATTGGCTTAAATAATCAGCACATATCTACAGAAATCTGGAGGCAGGCGAGCCTTCAGGGTTGGTAGATTTAGCAACTCAAAAAATGTAGTCTAACGTTCAGGTGCCTTCCGGGTCTCGGCTTTTCCTTCCTCCATATGGGTCTCTTGCTGAGTTTGGCTCCCCTAGTGGCCAACAGCGTTTCTCAGCATTCTTGGTCACGTCCAAATGGAGCCAGAGAGAGCCTGATTTCCCAGGGCTTTTTCTGAAAAATAAGAAAGTTTTCCCAGAAGCCTTCAGCAAATTTCTCATTGGCCAGAATTGGGTCATATGGCAATTCCCAAATTAATCACTGTCTGGGCAGGAGGAGATGGTAGTGGAGAAAGGAGTTACCCGGAAGCCAACAATTCTACCCCTTCTTACTGCAATCAATTCCCAGAGAGTACTGACTCAGTCTTGTGGGGACGGGCGCGAGGTTTGGGAGTCGGTCACCTCATGCAGCCCAAGGGCTCAAGCATATCCACATGAAATGGTATAGCTGGTTGGGGAAATGGTGAGTAGTCCCATTCCTTGGCACCATAAATTCACTTGAGCACAAAGGGCCTTGGAAATTCAACTATTAGAGCGCTTCCCAAGCCCAAACCTTTGGGTCCTTACAACAGAGTCCTTATACATAAGAAAATAAAATTTACTTTGAAAAACCAAATAATAAAGAATGTAAGCTGATGTGTTATAGAGTAGAGATAAGCCATGCTTCAAAGAAAAGAAGAAAGAGTACAACATAAAGCCACTGGAGAACATCTCATGAAGGAGGCGGATTGGTGTTCGACTGAAGGATAAGAAAAATCTCCTGGTAACTTGCCACTGGCTTTGCCCATCAAGATAGCTGAACTGAAACAACTTTGAGCTCTGAGCTACCGAAGAATATTTGGAGGGAATGAATTTGTGATGTCTCCATGGTAGAGATGCTATGGTTTTGCTCTATTCTGGAATTGCTGCTCACTTCGAAGAAATTTTCCACTGCGGAACATTTCCAATATGTTTTTTTGTTAAATCCCTACCCAAAATCACAGCCCACCTTGCTGTTCTTTGCTAAACAAAATTTTTTCTCCATTATCCTGCTCTCCTTAATCACATGTAATTTTTAAACTAGCTGTTACTGACAGTCCTTTCCTCCTATTTACTGGCAATGTTTTTAGGTCACTCCCACATCCAATTAGGGGAACTTGGAAAAAGGAAATCCTACAGCAAAATGCCATATGCCTTACAATTTAATTTTAAATACATAATCCTCAAGGATAGCAACTTGGCAAAGAGAGAACTGGACCCTTTCCCTGGAAGACCCATCCCTCGGGTCCATGTCAGATTACTGGCCTGAAATCCCAGCATTTGTAAATACAGACCCAAAAGGGACGACATCCCTCCATTTAAAGGTGGAGGTTTTCTTTCCCCTTTTTTCCATTGCTGCTTCTCTCAAAGCTTCCCCGAGGTATTTAGGTTTCCAGGGAATATTTTCAGCACACACTGACCAGCTGGAATGTGGGTAAGTTTCTAACGCTGCCCAAACACCCCCTCCACTGTGATCAGTCCTTTCCACCAGAAAAACTAGAGTGCTGTGACTTGGGTAAGGTCTTTGTGTTTGCGCTAAATAACTCCTATACCTCTGTCAGCTTTCTTTGACAGGATAGCTCTTCCCTGCCACCGTACAGATCACCTTCCTATCTGGAAAGCATGTCAGAGGATGAAATTCTTCTCCTTGTTTTGTTAAAAGAAGCCAAGTTTCAAGAAAATCCAGAGGGATTCCCACAGTCCCTTAGTCACGGAAGCGGCTAGCCTGAAGGGGCATTCCAGTGAGCTTCTCTTCTAGCCTAGCTATCTCCCCAGGGGAGATGGGCTTTCTACAAAAGGAAAGCTGTATCCTTTTTGTGGGCCTCTTGTGGGCCTTACACCCCCAGCTGATCTGTCTAAAATTAGCAAGTGGGTGAATAAGCAGGGGGCCATCAGCTGGCCATCCCTCCAAAAACTGTGCCTAGGTACTTGATATGATGAAGAATTAATAATAGCAAGTGAGAAGAAAAAATTGCCTTTCAAGGAGCACACAGGATGCTAGGGAAGAAGGAAGGAGAGGGACATGGATGGCTGCTGACTCTGGAATCTTCGGATCTGTTCGGATGAGTCATTACCAATGACTTCTACAACAGGAATCTGATTTGACTAATTATCCGATAGAAACTTTTGTTTCTGTCTCTCAACATGTGAAATCTATCTGGCTCTCAGGTTTAGTTATTACTTAAGCAACAAACCAACATCTGTCTTAGGAACATACTTGTCATCTTCCAGAAGTACTCGATGTATATTGAGTAACTAGAAAACATTCATGCTGTAATCCACACACACGTGCCCCTTGTCACACAACACTCCCACACAGGAAAAGTGAAACTGCCCTTTGATGAAGGCAAACTTGTGGGTGTTTCCAGCAATTAGGAGGCCTGCCAGGTATGTGTCCTAAGAAGGAAGGTGAACCTGAGGGCTTTCCCCAGCCTGTGGCTGAGGTCCTTATTTAGTAAAGTTACCACCTAGCGTCCTGAGTCTCAAGGCCAGCCTGATAGCGCAGGACCACAGCAGGGAAAGTGTGGCTGCTGACATCCCAGCCCTAAGAGATGAATGGAATTCCAGGCAGCTGGAGTCACGCTGGCTTGAGACAGTGGTTTGGAGACCAGACTTCCAATGACAGAAGCATTAGGCAGCCGCGCTCATGGTAATTGGTGCACCCACAGAAATGTAACCCACACCTCGGTTTCAGGAGCTGAAAAATGAAAAGAACGTTGAGGGAGGGATAAAAGGAAATAAAATGATAGGTGGAGGGTAATTTATTACTTTATGGGTCTGTTCTGTAGTTTGACCCCAGAGCCAGATGGTTCTGCAAATCCTCTAACCAGGAGTCACGTTAAGAAGCACGAGTGGGCAGAAAAACTGTTTTTCAAGACACAAGCTCAGTTTTGGCTTGAGGGAAGTAGATAGGAGTATGTTTCCTTAACATTCCTGGCTAGAAAGAAGCCGTCTTCGCGCGTCCCCTTCATCAGAATACATATACCGCCCCCAAGCGGCCAGCCGTGGAAGCGCGGTAGCAGGGCGAGAGGCGACTTTCGCGGGGACTTGGGCGCCCGGCAGCTGCGGAAAGTGTGCCCCGACGGGCAGCGGGAAGGCGGGCTCTGTTCACCGCCCGGCTGGCCGACGCGACCCCGCACTCAGCTCCGTTAGGGCTCGGGCGGAGGGCGGGCGCGTGGTCCCACAACCCACGGCGGGGATGGGGGAGGGTCACCAAATAACCCAGCGGGAACTTCTTTAACGACTGGTTCTCTCTCGGCCCCATTTACCCGTCGAGTTCATTCGGTTTTACAAACGGGCTCAGTCCCCAAGTGTCATCCGTCGCCCAGGTATTCAAGGAGATGAGTTTGCCTGAAAGCCCCCCCTAAGGGTCTGGGGGCGGGCGGGGGGGCGGGGTTGGATTCTAAAGCCTCGTCGCCGCTCGGGTTGCTCACACTTGACTCCCGGAGCCAAAGCGCTGATCGCGGTGCGCCAAGGCTGCGTGGGCGGGCACCTATTTTTCAGAGACTTTCCACCGCTCTTCGCCCGAACCGCCCCCCTCCTCCCAGCTGGAAAATTATGCGCCAGGCAGCAGGGGGCGGAGAGAGGAACCCAGACTGCCCCCCTCTCCCGCCCGGCCGCCTCCCATTGGCCGGAGGAATCCCCAGGAATGTGAGCGCGCCTTTAAAAGCGCGCCGCTCCGCCGCCTCGCCAGCGACTGTCTCCGAGCGGGCCGCCGAGTCCCGGCTCCCGCGAGCCTTTTCCCGCGCAGCCTCCGACTCCGGCCGCCGCCTCCCCGGGCGCCCTGCCCGCCCCGCGCCTCTCCCGGACTCGGTGCCCGTCGCTGCGCCCTCGCCTCCACCCCGGACCGCTGCACCCGAGTGCACACAGGTAAGGAGTCCCCAGGCGGCCGCCGAGGACCGGTACTGCCCAGGTCAGCCACCTCGAGCTCCGAGGCTTCAGCCCCTCGGGAGACCCCGGATCTGCTACTCTTCGCCTTCCCCCGCTGTCCCTGTCGTCGAAGGGCTCCAGAGCTGTTCTCTCCGGCCTTGGGGTTCACAAACCAACTCGTCAGGATTTTCTTTTATTCTCCCAGTGCTCCCCACACTTTTCTATCAGTTGTCTAGAGGAGAGTCTCTAGTTCCCCGTGCCTCCCTGCGCCCCCGGACTGCATCTCCTGGTCCTGCTGTTTGCTCTCGGCTTCCCAAGGAAAAGTCCCAGGTGGTTGGTCTTTGCCCCAGCGCCAACCCCCAACTTTAAAACCACAGTCTCCTCCCCTCGACTCTTTTTCTTTCTGATGCCCTGTCCAAAGTAAATACTGTCGTTTCACACATACTGCCCCCCCCCGGGCCCCGTCCAGCAAATGTGGGGCCAAAGGGACATGCCCCAGGGCCCTGGCCCCAAGCCCAGCCCCCAGGTTGTGCCCACCCTCCCTGCTTGGCTGCCTCTGACCTTGGGCTCTGTGTTTCCTGTTACAGGCTCCCTGCTGGGCACAAACAGCTCCACCATGGGGCTGGCCTGGGGACTCAGTGTCCTATTCCTGTTGCACGCATGTGGCTCCAGCCGCATTCCTGGTGAGTCTATGTAATACCTTTTGAGAGGGGAGGGAAGATGAGGAGGTCCGGGTTAGCCTGAGTGTGCCTTCCTCCCATTCTCTTCTCTGCCAGGTGTCTCTCCCCAGAGCCCTGACAGAACATAAGCAAGCAGGTTCCCTCTGACCCTGGTGTTCATTCAGTTCTTGCCGTGGTTGCCCAGGGTTTTCGCCCTGTCCTTTAGTCGCCGTCCCGGGTCTCAGCTTAGAAAGCTCACTGTGTGTCTTGCTCCTGTTGAACAGAGTCTGGGGGAGACAACAGCGTGTTCGACATCTTTGAACTCACCGGGGCTGCCCGTAAGGGCTCCGGGCGCCGCCTGGTGAAGGGTCCTGACCCTTCCAGCCCAGCTTTCCGCATTGAGGATGCCAACCTAATCCCCCCCGTGCCTGATGACAAGTTCCAAGACCTGGTGGATGCTGTGCGGGCAGAGAAAGGCTTCCTTCTCTTGGCCTCCCTGAGGCAAATGAAGAAGACCCGAGGCACGCTGCTGGCCATAGAACGGAAAGACCACTCGGGCCAGGTCTTCAGTGTGGTCTCCAATGGCAAAGCGGGCACCTTGGACCTGAGCCTGACCGTGCAGGGGATGCAACACGTGGTGTCGGTGGAAGAAGCGCTGCTGGCGACCGGCCAGTGGAAGAGCATCACCCTGTTTGTGCAGGAGGACCGGGCCCAGCTGTACATTGGCTGTGAGAAAATGGAGAACGCAGAGCTGGACGTCCCCGTCCAGAGCATCTTCACCAGGGACCTGGCCACCACGGCCAGGCTCCGCGTCGCAAAAGGAGGAGTCAATGACAATTTCCAGGTGAGGCATCCTTGTCTTCGGTGGGGTCGACTGCTCGGCAGCTGACCTGTCAGGAGGGCTAGAGCAGGAGAGGCAGGGTTTCTGGTATAGGAGACTCTGCCCTGGGCCTAAAGCAGTGGTTCTCAAACTTCAGGGAGCATCAGACTCACCTGCAGGGCTTGTTAAAGCACACACCCCTGCACCCAGTTCCCGGAGTTGCAGATTCAGTGTGTCTGGGATGGGGCCTGATGATCTGCATTTCTAACAAATTCCAGGTGAAGCTTCTGCTGGTGCTGGTGTTCTGGGGACCACACTTTGAAAACCACTAAAGGAAACAAATGGTTTTCCTATAGCCACCTGTTCAAGCCTTAGAGAGACTCCTTATGCTCTTTTCAAGAAAATAACTTATTTCAAAGCATTCTACCAATTGTAATGTAGCTTGAAATGGATACTGCGAGCAGAATAAATACCACTTTGCTATTTGATTCCCCATAGGGATGGAGCCGGTCTCCGGAGCCGGTCTCCGAAGGTGAAAAATAGTGGTTATTTGCTGCTGCAGCTTCTTCCTCGCTTAAACATCTAGGTTTTTGCAACTGTGGCTTTGAAACTCCCACATCTAACTCTTTGACACCGGAGAGTGTCATTATAGCCTGTCCTTAGTGTCCGATTCCATTGCCTGTGAACCCAAGTAGGCTGATAACGGATTTCTTTGTAAAGTACTGAAGACTTGGCAGGAGATCAGATTAAGATTGTGATTGTTTGGCAGTTTACGTTGGTGTGTTATTCTGACATGGTAATCTCTAAAGGGAGCTCTTTCAAACTTTTAGAACCTCTATTGTGTCCTTTTCCTGGCATAAACCGTCTCCCCCACCCATTTCCCCCCAGCCGCCCCACCACCACCACTCTACCAGTAATGTGTGTCCTCTGCCCCCAGGGGGTGCTGCAGAACGTGAGGTTTGTCTTTGGAACCACACCAGAAGCCATCCTCAGGAATAAAGGCTGTTCGAGCGGTGAGTACCCTTCTATTCTGGCGGGCATATGAGGACATTCAGGGGATTCTACCCAAAACAAGCTGAGAAACTTAGGGAACCGCGGTCATGCATAAATTACATTGGGTAACTTAGTTAAGAGGTGTGTAAAAGTGACCTCAAAGGGTGATCCACCTATGTGCCTCCCCTCACCCTCTGTCCTTCATCCCAGGTATAATGTCTTTCCAACCAGGAGCTCCAGGGGCTGGCCGGTGAGAACAGCTGTGTTAAGACCTTCCATTACTTTTCTCATGGCATTCCTTTCTTTCTTGGCAGCCACCAGTGTCCTTCTCACCCTCGACAACAATGTGGTAAACGGCTCCAGCCCTGCCATCCGCACTAACTACATTGGCCACAAGACGAAGGATCTGCAGGCCATCTGCGGCATCTCCTGTGATGAGCTGTCCAGCATGGTCCTGGAGTTGAGGGGCCTGCGCACCATCGTGACCACGCTCCAGGACAGCATCCGCAAAGTGGTCAGTGGCCTGCACTCCCAGCCCTTTAGCATGAGCACCTGAAGATGTATCACCAGATGACCCCCAATGAAAATGAAGATGACGCTAATGACCTTTCTCCCCCTTCTAGACTGAAGAGAACAAAGAGTTGGCCATTGAGCTGAGGAGGCCTCCCCTCTGCTACCACAATGGAGTTCAGTACAGGAATAATGAGGAGTGGACCGTTGATAGCTGCACGGAGTGCCACTGTCAGGTGAGGGATCATTCTAGAATGAAATAGGGAGTGATTGTGTGTTTGAAGCCAGTCTGTAGGGAAATACCAGATGGCCACACAAGCTCTTTCTATGCTCCAGAGCCTGATAACCAAAGTGGTTGCTTTTTGTTTTTTTTGTTTCTTTCAAGATGCAATTGTGACCTCCGTAAAATCTTGACACTCTCAAAGTTTTTCAAAGTCTTCATTATACCTCAGGCTAAGTATCTAAAAGAACAAATCTGCTAAGACATTTGAGTAATTTACCTGCTTTCGTTCAAAGGCTAGGTGTTGAATGTCTGGTAATTAAAACCTGGTCGGAACATTCCTTTTATTTCCCCAGCCCTGCTTGCATTCAACAATGACCTCAAGATTCCCTTAATACAGTACTGATTGTTCAAATCACTTAGCCTGGACACTGAGGACGTAACTGTCCACCTAGCTCAGATGGTACCACCTGCAGTGTGTGTATCACTGGCTCTCCCCAAAGCCAGTACCAGGTGCCTCGGTTTGTCTGATGCACTGAGCGGAGTCAGCTTAAATACAAATCCTGGATTGCTAGATTTGGGAGCCAACTTGATGTCCATTCATCCCCAACATAATATAAAACCAGATCTACACATGAAGGGGGAAAATGCTCACTGACCTTTTCTCTCTAAAAAGAAAATTTTAAAATTTAAAAGTCCTGACTGCGTTTGGAGTTCATTTTCAGACACTGATTAAAAGACTTAAGATGTTTGGTGGTTCCCTTTGGATAAATTCTACATGCTGTCACTTTCACCACTCAGTAGCAATTAAGAAAGAACTCTCTAAGGCATTAAAACTGTCTCTACAATATGGTGGCTGCAAATCAGACAGATCTATTAAACTCCTTCCATTGGAGTGTTTACAGCTCTGACCATGTTTCATCTTGTAATTTGAAGTGTTACAGTATGTAAACTTCTGCTTACAATATGCTTAGTAACCCATGTCTCCCTCTTGCCCTGCAGAACTCCGTTACCATCTGCAAGAAAGTGTCCTGCCCTATCATGCCCTGCTCCAATGCCACTGTCCCTGACGGAGAATGCTGTCCACGGTGTTGGCGTAAGTCCGTAAAACCGCATAACCATTCTTGAGTGACAAGGTCCATTCTCCATACACCCAGGACGGCTGAAAGGGGACACTGGAACCCCACCCCCATTTCCATTGTTTCAACTCCGTTTCCTACTCCAGCATCTGGTTAACGGACGGCTTGGCTGTTCTCTAGGCAATAATGATCTTGGCACAGTTTACTGATTTTTTGACTTGATGCTTGGAGGAAAGGAGAGACGAATGTGTAATAGCAATAGCTCTAAACGGACTGCTTAGATTTTGACACTGTGGCCTAGAGTGAAGAAAAATCAGCTCACCAGATAAATTGACGGTCTGTAGCGCTCGCGCTGAACTTAGTTGGGCCTGAAGGTTCCATCCATTTTATCTGCAGGAGTAGGAAGCCTAAGAATGAGAGCAGTTTCTGTTTTGGGGCACTGGCAGAAATAAGGCACTGTATTGTTCCATGGCACCCTATCCCCTGGTTGGTGCTGCCAGTATAAATTATTCACTTTGCTGAGACAATATTGAATGTAGTATGTACAAGTTAAGATAAGAACTGAAGCAGGAAAGTAGCACTCCCCCCATACCTCACACACCCCTAAGCAACTGGTAGACACAACTGGTCACAGTTCAGAGTAAGTGGTCTCATCCAGGGACCGTGTTGGCGCTGTGATGATCATGCACGTACCTGCTTCTGCTCAGCTTTCACTTCAGGTGTGGGCTAAAGGGAGCAAAGCTAGCTGGGGACCAGCGGAGTCCTGACCTTGAATCAGGGATTGCTAGGAAAACTTCCAACTGCCGGCAGGAGAAACAAGTTCTCTGTCTTGTGTCTGATACAGCTACATGTGACTGTAGTCCTGGGGCCTGGGCAGACAGTAAACAAGCCCATTCTCTTGGGAAAATCTGTCCGGAGAAAGCCCCACATGCTAGGGTAAGATTTGCTGCACACTGATGAACCTCATGACCGAGTTGGAGGCAGAGCCAGTGGCAGCAAAGCTGCTTTCAAGCTCATCTGCCAAACACATGGTCTATGGCTCCCCTGACAGTCCAGAGTGACTCCCATGAGCGGCCTCCACATCTAGTACTCTTGGAAGCCTGAGCCTGGAAATGCCTATCCAGATATCTAAAGTCAGGAAAGGGAAACTCAGAATGCTGAGACAGGAGGCCCCAACCCATGCAGGGAGAAGGCGGGGCTGTGCTGAGCCTTTCGTTACCCTGCTGCTATACATGCAAGGACTTGGGATAGACCCTTCGGCTACTGGCCTAAGAAATATATGGTTTTTCATCCTCTGGCAAAGGAAGGAGGTCCTAAAGAGCGCGAGCTACAGAATAGCTTGTCTTCGCTGATCACACACTAAATGAACCCACTTCCTCTGCAGCCAGCGACTCTGCGGATGACGGCTGGTCCCCATGGTCCGAGTGGACCTCCTGCTCTGCGACCTGTGGCAATGGAATCCAACAGCGCGGTCGCTCCTGTGACAGCCTCAACAACCGATGCGAGGGCTCCTCTGTCCAGACGCGGACCTGCCATATTCAGGAGTGCGATAAGAGATGTGAGCATCTTGGCCACTTGGCAATGCAGAGCACAGACTTGGCCTTGTCCTCAGCCAGACAGCATAGAGGTTAAGGGTACAGGTTCTCGACTGTCTGCATCTGAACCCCAATTCTGCTCACCTGTGCACCCTTGAGCACAACTTCCCTCCCTGAGGCCCTTTCCTCACCTGCGAACTGGGGGGAATAATAGCTTGTGATAAGGTTATTTTGAGGATTTCATTTAGGTAATGCATTCAAAGTGGTTAGCACAGAGCTTGACACCTGGTGAGCACCCTGTAACTGTCAGCTTTGTATTTTAGTTAAACAGGATGGCGGCTGGAGCCACTGGTCCCCATGGTCGTCTTGTTCCGTGACCTGTGGCGATGGTGTGATCACAAGAATTCGACTCTGCAATTCTCCGAGCCCCCAGATGAACGGGAAGCCATGTGAAGGCGAAGCCCGGGAGACCAAAGCCTGCCAGAAAGACGCCTGCCCCAGTAAGTGAGAGCATGCTACACAGCCAAGAGCTCGACAGCCCCACGCAGCTATAGGTGCCTGTGGCCTCTAGTTCGGTGGGTCATGGCGGCGGTGGGGGGGCGGGGGGCGGTGGGGCGTTCTCCCTAGGAAACAAGTAGAAGTAAAGTCCTGCATGCTCAGCAGCTTCTTTTAATAAAAGACAGAGAGAAAACCATTTCAAACTCTCTTCCCAAACATTCTTTCCAAGTGTCAGACGAGCGGAGAACAAGTTTAGAGTCTTCTAGGACAGGTGAGGTGTTTGAAAATTGGCCTTAACTTGGGCCTGTCCTTCACTTCCTTGCAGTCAATGGAGGCTGGGGTCCCTGGTCGCTGTGGGACCTCTGTTCTGTCACCTGTGGAGGAGGGGTGCAGAAACGTAGCCGGCTCTGTAACAACCCCACACCCCAGTTTGGAGGCAAGGACTGTGTCGGCGACGCGACAGAAAACCAGATCTGCAACAAGCAGGACTGCCCAATTGGTGAGTCCTGCAGCCCAGGACAGGAGCACCCTCGGGAGTTCGGGTTTCTTTGTTGTTGTTTCACTGGCATCCACGGTCAGCATCCGGGTTGGGGGGGATGGGGGCGGTTCTAGCTTTGAGTGGTCCTGCGTGTTTGGACTACAGTGTCCGTCTGGCAATTCCGAGTCATCTCAACACGTGAACGGCTACATATAGCCCACGATGTTGAACGCTTTGTTTTGTGACGAGCGGGCCAACAAGAGCCGCTCAGACCAACCGTGTGTCTGTCTCCCTGATCTCAGACGGATGCCTGTCCAATCCCTGCTTTGCTGGGGTCAAGTGCACGAGTTACCCGGACGGCAGCTGGAAGTGCGGTGCCTGTCCCCCGGGCTACAGCGGAAATGGCGTCCAGTGCCAAGACGTGGATGAGGTGAGGACGGACTGGCAGCGTTATTAGGCGTCGGGGAAGCAGCTAAACTGGTCCCGGCCCCTTCCCGGGGCGGCGTCACCCACACAGGAGGCACACTGTTGTTTCTCCCACAGTGCAGAGAAGTACCTGACGCCTGCTTCCACCACAGCGGCGAGCACCGGTGTGAGAACACGGACCCCGGCTACAACTGCCTGCCCTGCCCGCCGCGCTTCACGGGCACACAGCCCTTCGGCCAGGGTGTGGACTACGCCACCGCCCACAAACAGGTAGAGGAGACTAGACCCCCCCGACGGGAGTGGAGCCGGGGGGGTGGGGGTCCGTGGCCTAAACAGCCGGCCGAGGGAGGCCTGTCCTGTCACAGCCTTCCCAAAAGACGGGGAGAGGGCCGAGCGTATGGCGTAGGGTTTAGAAACGGGGCAAGACAGTCCATTGAAAATCCAGCAGGGGGAGAAATAGCCCATCACACTAGAAAATGCTGCTCTGGACTCAGTGGTGAGCTGATGGGCTTGTACATCCAGAGGGGGAGAAGCGGGAGGGACAGAGGTACCTTGCAGTCCTCCTCACGGAGTCTCTGTGTCTGTGGAGAGGAAAGGGACACGGGGACTCTCTCGAAGACTCTGCATTCACTTCGGGACGCTGTGCCCACAGGTGTGCAAGCCGCGCAACCCCTGCACGGACGGGACGCACGACTGCAACAAGAACGCCAAGTGCAGCTACCTGGGCCACTACAGCGACCCCATGTACCGCTGCGAGTGCAAGCCCGGCTACGCGGGCAATGGCATCATCTGCGGGGAGGACACAGACCTGGACGGATGGCCCAACGAGGACCTGGTGTGCGTGGCCAATGCCACCTACCACTGCAAAAAGGTAGAGCCCACTTCCCTCGTGTGCCTCCCGAAAGAAGGCGCATCGCCCTGACCCAGGGAAGAGGCTGAGCCGTTTTTAATGCTTAGTTTGAACGTGAAAGTGAAGGATGAAATCACACAAAGGCCAAATGGCACAAAGTCTTCACATTTAATCCCCTGGTGCCATGAACGTGAAGAGGGCGGGCCCTGTTGGCCGGTGCACTCAGAGCAGGTTCTTTCCTCCCAAAAAGTGTTCACGACTCTCCCAAATGCCAGCAGGGGCAGGACCGGTGCTCCCAGCATATATAAATCACAGGGCATTTATACAAACGACATATCCCCCAAGAAAATGTTTCGTTTTGTGTCCTCGCGTGAGAAACTGTAAGATGCCATCAGGGAGCACGGCAGTTCTGGTCCGTGCGGGGCATCTGAGGGCCCTGCCCCGGGCTTGAGCTGAGCGAAGGGCATGTGGACCGAGCTTTCATGTGCATCCTCCCTTCCCAGGATAACTGCCCCAACCTGCCCAACTCCGGGCAGGAGGACTACGACAAGGACGGGATCGGCGACGCCTGTGATGACGATGATGACAATGATAAAATCCCAGACGACAGGGTAAGGGTGTGGCCCACACCTCCTTCGTTCCCCTTCTTCATGCGAGACCCTGACGCAGACTTACTCGGGGCCAGTTGGAACACCTAGATGTTGCCAAGAGAAGGTTTAAAATGAGGGTTTTGGGTTTTCCTCACCACCTCCCCCATCCTAGGTTTGAGCAAGAAATGACAATGTATGAACAAACGACACTCAGCTCCCCAGCTCCCCAGATTTGTTTCACATGCTTCCCTAAGTTGCAGTAAAATTTGTACCAGGCACACTGAGACCTGGGGCGCTGTCCTTCTATTTACATTTCACCAACTTGTAACCCACAGGAATCCATTTTTCATTCAGTAGGCCCTGGCTTTCAATTTTTACAGTGAGGACTGAGTAGACGTTACAGATGGCTGCAGTTTTCTGTAATGCAGACGGTTGCAGGCTTGAGCTGGTTGCACGGACAGTGTGGTAAAATGCTCCATTCTTTTGCAGGACAACTGCCCCTTCCATTACAACCCAGCCCAGTATGACTATGACCGAGATGATGTGGGAGACCGCTGTGACAACTGCCCCTACAACCACAACCCAGATCAGGCTGACACGGACAGCAACGGGGAAGGAGATGCCTGTGCCGCGGACATCGATGGGGACGGTGAGGCATCCCCTGACGGCAGCAGGCCTGGGGGCAGGGGTGACCATACTCAGCTCTCACCTGAGTTCTCTCCAGCCCTGGCTCTGGGTGTGCGGTTTGTTGAAACCCCAGAGGCTGGAGATGCCAGCCCTGACTGGTCACCTGTTCTCTGTAGGTATCCTCAATGAACGAGACAACTGCCAGTATGTCTACAACGTGGACCAGAGGGACACAGATATGGATGGGATTGGAGATCAGTGTGACAACTGCCCCCTGGAACACAATCCAGATCAGGTAGGTGCACTCCACTGAGAATCTTCCAGTAGAGTGTACTGGAATAGCTTTTGCTAGGCCCTTGGGGAAAAAAAAAAAAAAAAGAGTTAGAGTTCAAACTCTTTCATGACCATGGCTGCGTCAGAGGTCTCAAAGCCAATCGCAGTATTTTCATGAGCATGAAATCTTTCATGAGACCTCCTTGCATGAGAGCATCCCCAAAATCCTTAGTGTGACAAATTACACAAAGCAGAAATCTGGTAACTCTAGTTACAGTAATCAGTTCTGAGACTAAGATGGAAGGAAAATATTCTCAGGAAAATTAATAACCATTTGCATGGCTAACAATATAATCTGGCTATAAGAAAACCTCAACCTAAAAATACTTCCAAAAGGTAGAGAAATTCTGGTTTGTCATTCTTCAGAATTATTTGGCATTGCAAACAAATCATTCTCTACCTGGGTGAGGGAGTGCTGCAGGTAGACATTAGCCAGAACAGGTTCCATGTCTGAAAGTATTTCTTTTCACGTGTAAATTGGCCATGATATTTTAGCAATTGTAAGTTAAGGCAGGTCTTTTTTTAAAATGCTTTGCTGTAGAAACTTGGAAACCAGCTTTTTGAAAATGGAAATTTTTTTAAGATCACAGAAATGATAAATCCAGCTTTTTCCTCCTAACACTTGTTCTTATGAGGTCCTGGAAAACAAAAAGCAACAGGATAAATAGCTGTGGGCTGTAACAGGAAAGTGGAAGGCTCTGGGGTAGCTTTGCTGAGCAAATGGCATTGAGGGTCCTCTGTTTTGAGTTTGGGGTCTTACCATAAACTTCATTAATATCATTTATCTCCCTGGAAGAATTTGTTTTGTTCCTCAGATTATAATATGTATAACTATTCAGGCATTATGTACATCTTACTTGCAAGAAAAATTCCAGTCTCTGTATAAATAATCTCTGAGCATCCCGAGCACACTGAAGAATATGAAAGTACTGAGAAATAGTTTAAGAAACTTAGAAGTTTGACTTTACCTGAACCAACAAATAACCCTCATAGACTAGATGTATTAAAACCAAATACAAAAAAAATTTAAAAATCCTTAATCTCCACCATATGCATTACCCAATATACACAAAAAACAGTGCCATGTTTCTATGATTTAATGAGCTAGACTAGAAGTGGACGTGTCAACAGTTTTATAACTGAAACCTTCAATGGAAAGTAAGAAAGAATTTCATTTAATGTTGAGAAATAAGCAGTTAACAGACTGAAATCTTAATGTGTTGATCCATTAAAGTGAGGTATCTTAGTGACTGATTTTATGTAGAAAGTTTTATATATAAAACCTCTGAATACGTTTTAAAATTCATATGAAAACAAGGATCAAGAAAGTTTAAGATTTTATTTATTTGCGCAAGGTGGGGGAGGGGCAGAAGGAAGAGGGAGAGGAAAAGATAAAGAATCCCACGCAGACTCCACACTGAGTGTGGAGCCCGACACAGGGCTCAATCCCAGGACCCGGAGATCATGACCTGAGCTGACATCAAGAGCCAGATGCCAAACTGACTGAGCCACCCAGGCACCCCAAGGATCAAGAAAATTTTACTCCTACTGTTACGGCAATAGCTTATAGACCTGAAAGCCCACTGGCCATATCAAACATGGGAGAAGCTTCCATTAAGTCCTCTTTACCATTAATGACTTAAACTTCGATTTACCTTCCCTTTCTGTCTCTTTCAGCTCGACTCTGACTCAGACCGCATTGGAGATACCTGTGACAACAATCAGGATATTGATGAAGATGGCCACCAGAACAACCTGGACAACTGTCCCTATGTGCCCAATGCCAACCAGGCTGACCATGACAAAGATGGCAAGGGAGATGCCTGTGACCATGATGATGACAATGATGGCATTCCTGATGATAGGGACAACTGCAGACTCGTGCCCAATCCTGACCAGAAGGATTCTGATGGTGAGTCAGTGGAGCCCCTTTCTAAGAGACTAACACCATGGCTATCTGGATTGAGAAAATAAAAGCAAAACTAAGTGCATTTGAGAGGATAAAGAGACAAGATGCCAACTTAGAATAGTGAATTTCTGAGACCAGTCATGATTCAGAATTTCACTGAACTCTTGCCTTTTTGACCTTAGGTGATGGTCGAGGTGATGCTTGCAAAGATGACTTTGACCATGACAATGTGCCAGACATCGATGACATCTGTCCTGAAAACATTGATATCAGTGAGACTGACTTCCGCCGATTCCAGATGATTCCTCTAGATCCCAAAGGGACATCCCAGAATGACCCTAACTGGGTTGTACGCCATCAGGGTAAAGAACTTGTCCAGACCGTCAACTGTGATCCTGGACTTGCTGTAGGTGAGTAGTGAGTTCTCCATACAAAAGGCTAGCGCTCACATGGGAAAGAAGCAATCTAAAACCTGGCGCTTATGTGTTTCCCTCAGGCTGTCTGGGAATGTAACAGAGAAGCTTCTGAAGGCTGCAGCTTTTAACCCGGGTCTGGCCTCCTTTCCCTAGGTTATGATGAGTTTAATGCCGTGGACTTCAGTGGCACCTTCTTCATCAACACTGAAAGGGATGACGACTATGCTGGATTTGTGTTTGGCTACCAGTCTAGCAGCCGCTTTTATGTCGTAATGTGGAAGCAAGTCACCCAGTCCTACTGGGACACCAACCCCACTAGGGCTCAGGGATACTCAGGCCTTTCTGTGAAAGTCGTGAACTCTACCACCGGGCCAGGAGAGCATCTGCGGAATGCCCTGTGGCACACGGGAAACACCCCAGGCCAGGTAAGAACAAGGCCCCAAAGAAGGGAGAGTGGATGGGTGCTTGACTAGCACTCCCAATGTTGGGGGGCAGGGAGGGTCCTTAGATACCAAGTTCCCAGCACCATCAACGGCAGCATTAAGTTCTGCTTTGTAAAAGCCTAATAGCGTCTGAGAAGGGGGCTTGCTGTAACTTAAGAGCTACCTTCAAATCCAAAGACCTTTTCAGCCTCTTCAAGACTCCCCCTCTCTTTGTGCTTTATATGGACATTCAAGAGCACAAGGCCAATAAAAGGCCTTGGAAAAATCCAACATTGCAGCCCTCTAATTTAGGTCCACTTGCTACCTTTTCCATATTATTTCTTACAGAACAAAATCTAAATCTTGACAGAGCCGTGTTTCATTCATTCATTTTCCTTTCCCTTCAGGTTCGCACTCTGTGGCATGACCCTCGTCACATAGGCTGGAAAGATTTCACTGCCTACAGATGGCGTCTTAGCCACCGGCCCAAGACCGGCTTCATTAGGTAAAGATCACACTGGTGACGTTTCACTTAGTCACACTGATGGGGAAGGAGGAGGAGCCCAAAAAGTAGGGGTGTCACTCACAAGATGTTCTTTTTCCTGCAGAGTGGTGATGTATGAAGGGAAGAAAATCATGGCTGACTCAGGACCCATCTATGACAAAACCTATGCTGGTGGTAGGCTAGGGTTGTTTGTCTTCTCTCAAGAAATGGTGTTCTTCTCCGACCTGAAATACGAATGCAGAGGTAGGAGCAACATTACTGTGAATGCAGTTGACATCTGTAATTCAGACTAATATCGAGGATGCCAATTATGGAAGCATCCGTTTAAAAGATGGTTTTGGAGAAGGGTTGTTGATACTTTGCTGTGGAAGACCACGATAAGAACAAGGCCTATAAACTGTAGCCAATCTTAAATTATGCTTTGGTTACTATAAAAGTAGAGCTCTACTAAGGCTATTAACTGATAAAGCTAGTACCTTCGTGAATTAATGGGCTTGTGTATGTGTGTGTTTACTTAACAGATTCCTAATCATCAAACTGTTGATCAAAAGACTGATCCTAACCAATGCTGGTGTTGCACCTTCTGGAACCACGGGCTTAAGAAAACCCCCAGGATCCCTCCTCCCTGCCTTTTCTCTGCTTGCATATCATTGTGGACTCCTAAAATATGGGACTTGCCTTGAGAAAATGCCATTTTCCCCAATCAGACTCAGCATGCAGCTTCTGAATGCAAAGAGAATCGTCCAAGAACATCAACAGTCTCGTTGGTTTGCTTTTTAAGAAGCAAACGCATCCACGTGCTTCAGCTAGCAGGTGGCTGTCCACTCTGTTTCTGTCAGAGTAGAGTGCTATTCGGAGCAGTGGACTCCAAAGCATTTCCAGGCATGTGAGAGAAGGGAGGACTCACTAGAATTGGCAAACTGCCACCCTTGACAGACTCCCTCAGAACGAGGGGGAGCAGGGGCCAAAGCCCTAAGGGGCGGGCGTGTCCCCAAGAGATGATTGTATGAAGACAAGATGGAGGAGCTGTTACGTGTTCGGTACTAAATCATTTTCAGGGGATTGGAAGACTCTTGCTGGATTTCATGATGCTAACCAGTGTTAGCTGATTAAGCCGCGTACATAGGCACTTAAATAGAAGCAGGGAAGGGAGGGAAAGACTGGCTTCTGGACTTCCTCACGGATCCCCATCCCTTACCTATCACCCATAGTGACCACAATAGGGAGTGAGAATTAAGCCGGTGGAAGGCTGTGCTGGCTGCCCCTGCCTGCTTACCTTGAAATTGTTGGTTTTATTCCACACCTAGCTTGTGCAGATGCAGCAGAAAAATCAGAAAACCTACCATCTCAGTGAGCACTCGGCTGCCTCCAAAGCGATGTACAGCCGTGCTCGTATTTTTATGGTTAGAAAGGCACAAAATTATCAACTAAAACATTCCTTGTCTCTTTCCTGAATATCATGGACTTTTCCAACTCTTTTAGACTGTAGTTTTTTTTTAATTTTTTACAAACACTTTACAATATAAAATATTTATTTTTTACTTACTCTGGAGGATCTGTCTGAAAGACTATTCATGGAACAGGAAGAAGCGTAAGGACTATCCATATCAGCTTTGTTAGGAGTCTTCATGACTGTAAGATTGTAAATACAGATTATTTATTTACTCTGTTCTACCTGGAATCTAGGTTTCATATGGAAAGTGTCTGACAGCAGGTAGTGGAGATTTATCAACAAATCTCTCAAGAACGGCACGAGGAACATCAGAGTGAGCTGCTCTTCACTTTGTGCTCAGAGTGAATGATTTGGGATCTTTTTTGTCTTTTCAAGTGGAATTAGTTGTCCATTTGCTAGTGTCTTTAAGTTTCAAAGCAAGCCATGAGGCCTTTCAATCTGTCGCGCCCCATCCCTTGTGCCTATTTCCAGGGAGAAGAAAATCATCTACACTTTTTTGTTTTTCCAAAAGAGAAAAAAAAAATAACAAAGGTGAAACTTATATACAAATATTACCTCATTTGTTGTGTGACTGGGTAAAGAATTTTTGGATCAAGCAGAAAGAGTTTAAGTGTCTTACAGACTTAAAGCTACTGTAGTACCTTTAAAAAAAAAAAAAAAAAAGCAGTGTTGTACATAGTATAAAAATTCTTTGCAGAAAAGTATTCCCAATAAGGAAATAGCATGGAAATGTTAAATACATTTTCTGAAAGTTATGTTTTTTTCTATCTTATGCCATTGCTTTATTTTTATAAATTATTTTCTCATTGCCCTTGGAATAGATCTCAGATTGTGTAGATATGCTATTTAAATAATTTATCAGGAAATACTGCCTGTAGAGTTAGTATTTCTATTTTTATAAAATGTTTGCACACTGAATTGAAGAATTGTTGGGGTTTTTGTTTTGTTTTTGATTTGTTTTTCGCTTGTTACTATCCCCCCAGTTTTTACTATTTGCCAATACCTTTTTCTAGGAATGTGCTTTTTTTGTACACATTTTTATCCATTTTACATTCTAAAGCAGTGTAAGTTGTATATTACTGTTTCTTATGTACAAGGAACAACAATAAATCATATGGAAATTTATATTTATACTTACTGTATCCCTGTTTATTCTCTTACTGGCTTTGTTATGAGGCGTGGGTAAATTCCATCCCTAAACCAATATGGCAGACATAAGAACACATTACAGTAACTATTAGTAACATTCCCAGTTCCTATATAATTGAAGACTGATTTGCTTAGGAAACACATTTGCTGGATTTGTGGAATAAGAACAAAATATGAGCCTACCATACCAAACACAGGAAAGATGGGGCACCTCACCGTCAGTGAGGGAAGCATCCAACTCTTGATCTCAGCTCTGGTCTTGATCTCAGGGTCCTGGGTTCAAGCCCCATGTTGGGCTCCACACTGGGTGTGGAGCCTACTTAAAAAAAATCTTGGAAAGAAAGGACTTAAGATGGGGGCCCCAACAGGATATAATTTTATATTTTACTAAGGTAATGAAATGTCATCTCTTGAATCCTTCCCAAAGTACAGTTCTGTTTCTACAAAGAATTCTGAAAAGGGGAAAAACACAAGGGAAGCGCACACAATTCTCACAACTCCGTTTTTGAACCCGTGAGTGACAGCACTGGGTGGACAACACAACTGCATGTCGTGGGGAAGCATTAGAAGTGCTACTAAGGGAGGAGCCGTCCTTACAAATTTGGGCCAAACTCTAGACGTCACCTTTTAGAGAATGAATTCACCTTTGGTCAAAAACAGGACTAAAGAAGAATTTAGAAGAAATGCTAAAAATACATTTAAAAAGTATCAAATTAGTTTTTGAAGAGCAGGCCAAAGCATCACAATAAGCAGACCTTGAGTTTTGGGTGAGCTAACAATGAATGTAGAATACTGACCGATTGATTTCCAGTTTTTTTTAATGTTACCCTGAAAGGGAGAGGACGTGTTCTTATTAAAAATCAGTGTTTTTATTTTAGGGTTCCCTCCAGACCCGAGGTCCTTTCAGTTGATGAGCTATGGAATGAATGGTGTCCCGTCTTTCAATGGCAAAATCCATTACTTAAGATCATTCTGTCTTCCTTCTCTTCTCGTAAACTCTTATAACATAAAGGCTCATTATACCCCAAATACTATTTGCAGAAACACATTACGAAGCCATAAGCTCTCAACCCCTCTCCACACCCACCCACACACACACACACACACACACTCAAATACTGGTAAGCTGAATACCAGAAGAACACAGGTTTAGAAAGCTGAGCTCCTCAAAAAGGGTGATGGGCCAAAATGGCTCCTCTCTGTCACCACTCCAAATTCCCACCCATGTCACCTCTCCCGACTCAAACCTTACGACACACATGTCATTCCTAGGAAAGTCTAAAATCATGACATTAACTTCTGCTGGTACCCCACAACAAAACTCTTCACAGCAAGATGAATTACACTGTCACACATTGACATTGACATGAACCATTGTTATTTTCATGTCAGCTGAAAGAGGAGGCTCAAAAAAGAAATTGCCTATCAACTCCTCTGAAAATAGTAGCTACAGAATTCATTTTTTAAAAGTCCAGGAAATGTGATGTAAGCGATCCTTAACATCATCCACTATCAGTAGATGAAAATAGCCAGCTCATTTCTATTTCATCAGAAATAAACTGGACTTCTAATTCTAGTGCCAATTCATTGTAAAAAGTGCTGACATAAAATCTTCTCATGAATCCAAGTGACTGACTTGTAACTAGACAAAACTTCTCTCTTAAAATAGAACCACAGAACTTTTCTTAAGTAGCTGATCGTTATTTGCTGCATTCTCATTTCTTTTAGTGCACTCTGGAGAAGAAAGTCTGAGTGTCTTCCCTTTGCCCTCTCTATATGGTTTTTAGGACATGTTGATTAATACCCATGTATTTAAGAATATCATCCATCTATTCCCAGTGTAACATAAGAACAACCAAAAGGAAGATTTAGAAGACCTCTTATAGGGTCCTTTTATAATAGTTGTGTACTAAATTACTCTAGAAAGTGGTTGTCTCTTTCTACGACATCTGTCAGTCTAACATCAGGGAGCACCAACACGTTACTTAATATTTTAATAATTATTTATTATTAATCCCCTGCGGTCTTCAAGCTCTTTAAAATTAGAGGGTTTACCACAGTATTCTCATTGGGAAACAGTAGGAGGTTATTAACCGCAGTGAATATATGTCTGCTTCCTCCTAAGCACTCATTGCTATGGCTTACTTTTTTCTATTGTCCCTAGTTTCTACATGTTATTCCAGGGAGATTAACCCAACTCCCATCTAGGAAAAGTAAGCATGAATCCCTGACTACACCAATCATCACAGTCCATCCCTCGGCCACAGAATTTGCTTCAGAGATGAGAACGTGATTAAGTTGGTACAATCAAAGCGAGGCATGGAAACTCTGCTCAAAATTCTGACAGAAATACTCTCTCCAACAGGATGATATAGTTGCTGCATTCTGAAAGATGATAACTGATAATAAAAATCAAGTAATTCAGGGGCACCTGGGTGGCTCAGTCAGTTGAGCGTCTGCCTTCGGCTTGGGTCATGGTCCCAGGGTCCTGGGATCGAGTCCCGCATCGGGCTCCCTGCTCAGCAGGAAGCCTGCTTCTCCCTCTCCCTCTGCCTGCCTCTCTGCCTGCTTGTGCTCGCTCTCTCTCTCTCGTTCTCTAGCAAATAAATTTTTAAAAAATCAGGTAATTGCTTAAACTCCTGTTTAAGCCAAGTAGCACTGCCAATAAGAAAACAAAGTCTATGCTAACACTGCTTTGCTGAGAAAATTCATTTTCTTCCTATGGTGCATTGTACTTGCCACCAGGCATTAGAGAGAGGAAAGCTGGAAAAATCAGGGCCCAAGTAAGAATTCATAGTGATTAAATCTGTCTGAATCCCAATGAAGTTGTAACACATAAAATCAAACATAAAGTCATCATAGCACTTCAACTAGTTTTAACATAGCACGCACATACATAAAATGTTGGTTTCTATAATGTATTCCTGATGTTACAAGATTGGCAATAAAACACAATTTTGCCAGGAATTTCAATGGAAAAAAAAAACCACTGACCAATTGTACCCCAAGTCTCAAAAATATCAAAGAAATAGAATCCAGGTAGAGAAAATCCAAATATTAAAATCATTATTTGAGGAATGGTCCCATAAATGCAGTCACTGAATAAGAAATCAGAAAAAAATTATGTAATTGAATTTACCAACTTTCTTAAAAGCACACCCAGCAAGTCTTTGCTTAAGATTCTTTCCATTCTTCTGTCACATCTTCAGTCTCCTGTTCATCTGCACATTGAAAACAATAACCAAAGCTGTTAGGCAATCAGAAATGTGTGCATAGTTAAGAAAAATGATTCAACCTACAGAACAGTAAGTCATTTTACACATGAGACAATAGTCATTCTCATTTAATATTTGAACACTCACCACAAGCTGCATACAAAGTTTACAAGAAAAAAAACAAAAGAGAAGGTGCTCGCCTTCATTTAGCTTACAGCCAAGAGGGAACTTTCTAGGTTTTAAGAACTAGAATGGTTATGGATTTGGAGATGGCATCAACTTTCGTTGTTGCTTGCTTTGCATTATTTCCAGGAAATGTAGTGATAGTATCCACACACGGCCGAAAAATAGTAAGTAGGGAGAAAGGTGGGATAGAGAAGCAGACCTCAATATCCCACACATGAGATGAGGAATGATAAGAGTAGCCCAGGCCTTCCCAGGTACTATTTCTTCTATCTGGAGTGTTGCCCTTCTTGCCTACCCAGTAAATGACCCTCATCCTCGGAGGCTCAACTTGAATGTCACTTCCCCATCTCCCCAGTGTTCATCATTCCCTCTGTAGCGTGGCTGCAGATTTTGTCCCGAAGCTCTTACTACTCTTGTCTCGCCCCTGCTGTGATTATCTGTTCAAGTGCCTGCCTTCAGCAACAGACGATGAAATAATTCAGAGTTGTGATTGTGTCCTATTCCTTATATCCTAGAACAATGTCCTTAATGAATGAATACTGATGTCCAGAGCCAACCCCTAGAAATAGATTTAATTCATCTGGGATGGAACCAAGACATTAGTCTCTTTTAAATCTCATCAAGTGATTCTAATATGTTGCCAATGTAAGAAGCATCACCTAAGGGATGGACTTAGTATAGCTTAAAATGCCAGACAGATCTGAGGCAGATGCCAAGTAGAGAGATCTGAAAATCAAACGTATACAGAGCACAGATGATCCCATACCGGTTATATGTGTCTCCAAATAAATTATCAACCATGAAAGAGTTGAGAACTCAAGTTAGGGCATGCTTGTTCTTGGTGACTAAAGGGAATGTTACCCAAAAGCAGGACACGAGGGGTGTTTAGAGAGAGAAGACAATCTGGAGAAGGTAGTACCTTCATTAAAATGAAATTTAAGAAGAAAGAGTAGGGATTGAGCAGATGGAAAAGAAGATATCTTCTGACATTATTTTCACCACCACCATACAGATAATCCTAGAGTCGAGTCTAGTCCAGAGCTTCTCACACTTTCACAAGTGCACAAATCACCTGCTGGGGCATCTCGTTAAAATGCAGACTCTGAGACAGTGGGTCTGGAGCAAGGCCTGGGACTCTGCATTTCTAACAAGCTCCCAGGACTGCATAGATCTAGTCCATAGTTAGGATCTTAACTTTTTTATTTTACCCAATTTGAATGAAGCAATGGAATCACAAGTTCTTATTAACTGATTAAAGGATAATACATTACAATTAAATACCAAAACTCTCCAACTTGCCATTGTTGACACTATTAAACACAATGATAAAGTGATATTTTATGAGTAGATGAAGAAAATAATCAGTGGCACATATTCACATGAAAAGCCCACCTCAAATCAAGAATGAAAGAAAGCATGAAAGAAAATTAGTTGCAAGTAACTTAAAAAGATAAATTCATTGAGTATAAACTTACTAAAGTGTTATATCAAAAGGTAATGAACCCCGGAAATTTCTCACATAGCAACTCTGATATTTTGATCAAATAAATTTGGGGGAGTTGATTAAGTTACTAAGAGCATCTGAAAAGCAAAGAGTAGCCTTGAAAAAGGAATTTAACAAATAATAACTAGGAGGCCTGAAGGCACACACAGTTTGAAACAGAACTCCATCAAAGCAATGATGAGTTAAGTATTTCCTAAGAGCAAGCCAACATATTTTTTTAATGGAAAAAAAAAGTTAGCTAATAGGGTTCCTTATTTTGGACTCTCAGGGCTCCACGACAAGCCAGAAAGCCAGTGTTACCACAAAGAAAACTTTCTCAAAACAATCTAGTGCCTTTGAAACTGTTCAGGTGGCCGGAATAAGGACATAACGAACATACATATCCTTCAAAACTGCAACATCCTTCACAAAAGCCAATCCAACTACAACCGACTCAAGTTACGTTCAAAAGTTACAATCAATGGCGAAGCCCTATATTGTACACCTGAAACTAATTTAACACCGTATGTGAACTATACTGGAATTAAAATAAAAATTAACAATAAATAAGTAGGAAGTTACAATCAAATAAACCGTCTGGTGGGCAGGATTTCAACATGAAGTATAATCAGACTGCACAGTTGTCACTGTTGGTCAACTTGTTGTCTCTGAGGACCCCGATGGAATAACATAATTAGCTTTCTTACATCTATACTGAAATCTGTATTTCTCAAATATGTATAGCAAAAATCTTGTAGCTTGCATTAATTTGACAGACTGAATGCTCCATACCAGGGACTCTGATTGCAGGAAGTCAGGCTAGGGCCTTGGACACAGGTATAAAACAAGCAAGCAAAAAACTCCCCAGATGATCCTGATGCTCTGTGCTCTGTAAGAGTGCTTCTCAAACCTCACAGTGTCACTGGGGAATCTTATTAAAGTGCAGATTATGAGTCAGTAGGTTTTCTAATAAGCCCCCAGTAACTGGGCCACACTCGAAGCAGCAAAGGCTTAAAACATGGGATGGAAATCATATGGCTCCAAAGGGCCAGGCACATGAAGTAGAGAGGGGCAGATGGGGGTCCTATGCCCCTGGAGGTGCATGCCCCTTCCAAAGGGAATGTCTGCTACTCAGCTCTCCTCACTGGTGGAAGGACCTGATGACTTGTCACAAAAGTCAGAAGTCCAGGCTTTTATGGGAAATCTCCTGATTAAATGTTAAATACAGAAGTCCCTCTCATCCACAAGGAATATGTTCCAAGACCCTCAGTGGATGCCTGAGACCATGGATAGTACCAAACCCCATATATACTATGATTCTTCCCATACATACATACCTCTGACAACATTTAATTTATAAATTAGATGCAATAAAAGATTAAAAATACAAATAAAATACATTAACTTACCATAATAAAAGTTATGTGAACATGGTCTCTCTCAAAATGTCTTCTACTGTACTCATGTGATGATGTGAGGTAATAAAACGCTTAAGTGACGGGATGAAGGCGAATGACAAAGGCATTGTGACATAGTGTTAGCCTACTATTAACCTTCTAACAGGCCAGAAGGAGAATCACCTGCTTCCGTAAGGCTGCTGACCACTGGTGGCTGAAAGCACAGATAAGGAGGGAGTACTACTATCCCATGTAAGCCGACCAAGTCCAGTCACTGACATAATCATTTTATGTGGGCTTTCTCGTTTGGTCCTTATTGAAGTATTAAAATCATCTGATCTTACAGAGAAGGAAACCAAGGTGTAAAGGAGAGAAGTTAAATAACTTGCTGAAGATCACTGCTAAGAACAGAGCAAGGACTCAAAGCCGGATCTGCCTTACCCAGAGCCCATGCCCCCAACCACTAGACCAGCTCCTGCAGGTGGGTGGGCGCACCCAACCTCCCTCTGCTCCTCCAGGTTCTAGTCCGGGGTCCTGCTACTTACCCAGACTACTGCAAGCTTTAAGAAATTAATTTGCCCTCTGGGTTTTTGTTCTCAGTTTCAATTTACAGTGACCAATCATCCCAGTTTGCCAGAGACTGAGGGATTTCAAGGACAAGAAACAGTCGGTGGTGAAACCAGGACACTCCTGAGCCAACCGCGACAGTTAGTAGACCTAGTTTTCATTTAAGGTTGTTATTTTTAAAACAAAAGTATCTGACTCATTCGTTATAGAAATTTTTAAAAGCACCATTCATTATATGGGTCCTATGGGAAATTCCACTTTGTTTCCCTTGAAGGGTTAGCATAGTTCTGACCCCTTTCTTTACTACTGCCTTGGTGTCCCTTTTTACCCTATTCTACTACTGCTGCTTTTGTTATTCGTATTTTCCTCTTTACCATATGAACTTCTGTTAATAAGTAGCTCAAATGCTTGGGGGGGAAAGAGAATACCGTACATGCAGAGATGCCTTTTTGTTGGGATTCTCTAGAAAGCAATTCAACATAAGATAACTTGATTAAATACTAGACTAACCACAGACCTGAAGGGCTTTCTCTCTGAAGTACCAGCATACTCAGGCGTGTCTCAGAGGTGACGTGGTGGCAAAGAATGCTTACTCCCCGCTCTCCTCGCACCTGAACGTGGAGAAACTTACAGTGGGGAAGCATCCCGCCTCGCTCCATCCTGCTCCGCGTACCGCCAGGGAGAAGAGCCAATGCCCTGATCAGTGAGTTTGGGGGAAGAAATGGCATGCTCGGCTCAGCCCCTTCCTCCACGGCCGTCAGTACGCCCCCCCAACCCCCGCCCGGCCACAGGTGCTCCATGGCTCCTGATGCTAGTGGCCCCACGTGGACAGGTCTCCACAGGTGAGGCTTGAGGCTTTTCACCTCCGCCAGTGACTGCGTGTGTCAGTTCACTCGAAGGACATAACATTCGGAAGACCATTCAGCTGCCTACCCAGGTCACAACAACCCCCTACGTTTCATCAGCAATGAAGCCAACCTCCTTGCTCTGCATTCCTCAAAATCCCCCTGTCTTTAAATGGGTTCCGATCTGGGTAGGGAAGAGAAGACACTATTTACCAATCCCCTAAAGCCCCAACAGTGAGTAAGTACAACACTGAATTTATTGGACCTTTTAATTTTATTTTATTTATTTATTTATTTGAGAGAGAGAGCACAAGCGGGGGGTGGGGGGGAGGCAGAAGGAGAAGCAGACTCTCCACTGAGTAGGGAGCCCAACTCAGGGCTCGATCCCAGGACCCCCTCGATCCCGAAGGCAGATGCTTCACCGACTAACCACTCAAGCGTCCCTGAATTTACTGGACCTTTTATGCAGAAAGTTAAGTATCAGTAGTTACCGCTAAGCCTAAAGCACAAACAAGAAAAATGGAACTTTTAATACAGTTGTGAGACAGATCCTTAGCTTTCAATACCACAATTTAAATTGGCCCTCAATGTCATTCAGCTGGGTTCTCTTTCTGAAGTTTTATGAGTCTGCCTTTTAGAAGAATTTTTTTTTAAGATTTTATTTATTTATTCATGAAAGAGAGAGAGGCAGAGGGAGAAGCAGGCTCCCAAGGAGCAGGGAGCCCAACGCGGGACTCGATCCCAGGACCCTGGGATCATGACCTGAGCCGAAGGCAGATGCTCAACCATTTGAGCCACCCAGGCACCCCCTTTTAGAAGAATTTTAATACTTGTAACAGACCTCAGTTCCTCAAGAAAGAGAAAAGAATATATCAATAATATTTGCTATTGAAAGAGAAAATAACTGGTTTTTCTTAATTCGTTCCTATCTATAGAAACCTACTCTGAATCACATTCACATGTAACTGTTTCCTAAGAAAGACCTGAATATAACGTATCAGCTGAACATACGGCAACTCCTCATTCAAGTCACATCCGTAAAGAGCTTTGTGCCAAGAAAGCTGGCTTGGCATTCAGTTTTGGTGTTTGCTTTCGTAGAGAGCACATAATTACAATTTAGTATTTTTTTTTATTTTTTTTATTTATTTGACAGAGAGAGAGAGGCAACACAAGCAGGGGGAGTCGGGGAGGGAGAAGCAGGCTTCCCACTGAGCAGGGAGCCCAATGCGGGGCTTGATCCCAGGACCCTGAGATCATGACCTGAGCCGAAGGCAGACACTTAACAACTGAGCCACCCAGGCGCCCCACAATTTAGTATTTAGAATAAAATTAATTAGCAAAGTATTTTACTCATAAACACTGAGGTTAGTAAAATTAAAAACTCCAACCTCCGATATGCTAACATGCACTCAAAATGATAATGTAGAACCTATTCATTAAAGTTTGTTACACAATAAACAGAAAATAAAATATGGTTCACATATTCACCCCTATGCCATCTTAATCCTCCATACTCACAGGGGTTGTTATAATCATACATTAGGATCATCTGGTGCCTTTAGAGGCACGTTCTATGAAGTTATAGGTAAGCCACCACAGCTTCTTTCCATCAAGTCACATTAAGTTCTAGTTCATTCCATCTCGTCATGTTCTACTCAGAGACAGATATACATCAGTGTGACTCAGGTTCACACAGAAGTAAAGTCATATTTTAGCAAAGTACTTTTCTAAACCCCCTTCCACACAGACTCCTTGGGAATGAGATCGCATATGCAACAATCATCCCATCCAATTTAGTAAGTTTGCTTACAGTAGACAAAGAGGAGATGCAGATATTTTCTCTAATAAAAAACCCTTTATCCAAATAGAAAGAAAATACACCGTGATCTTAGAGCAGAACAAAGTTTTCATAGTTTATTTATTAAATGAAGATCCTGAGTGGGGGAAGGCGGAATGCACCCATTTAATTGAATTGCATGTTGTAAAAATGAACTCTCTGCTGGATACGAAGGTCATAGCTTATAAAATTTCATAAAAAAAGAGAAAAGTTCCAAATCTTTATATAGCATGTGAGGCTTGCATAATTCTTAAGCAATACCACCTGCTTTCATTCATAATGTGAAGAATAAATGTGAACCACATTTTCAACATATTATTCTAAAACTGGGCAATTTAAATTTTCATTTCTTAAGCAGGCACTTGGTTTAAGGCTGCACTTTGGACATCAAAGGAGATGTAACAATAAGTCAAAAGATAGGATCTTTGTCCTCAAAAAAATTACACAATTTTAAGGAAGAGAAGGTGTGCGTGTGTGCCTAACAACTTCAAGACAAGACAGTGTGTGTGAAATGACCTGATAGGGGACCAAGGTTCTTGGACATTTGGAGGAGAAATCAAACTTTTTAAAAAGGGAAGAAGGGAAGGTTACATTCAGAGAGGATGGGGTTGGGATCTAACTGCCATTGAAGGGGTACCTGAACATTCTTCAGAAGAAAAGAGTAGGGGCTATCCAGGGGCAGAGAAAAGCCCTGGAAATCCCGAGACCAGATTAGCCATAATCTGAATAACATGTAGAGGACTAGTTAGAGACTGATTAGGAAGAGATGGAAGTCAGTGGAGGCCTTGACCAGCAAGGGAAAGAATTTGGATTATATTCAGTAGGCAGTGGAGAGCCACAGAAGTTTTCTGAGCTGCGAAATGGGGTTATCAAAGCTGGACGTTGGAGGGATTCGTTTGGTGGTGGTCAACAATGGCTTGAGGAGGGGGAAACCAGAGGTGGAGAGTACCGGTCCGAGGGTCATCACAGTGTCCAGCTGAGGCAGCAGGAAGAGCAAGGAAGGGATGGGCATGGGAGACACTGCGGGAACAGAACAAACAATACTGAAGCTCAAGGTGGGGAGCAAAAGAGAGAGGAGATTCAATGATGACTCAAATTTTGAGCCCGGGTGATGGGGGAAACAGAAAGGAAAGAGGAAAATCTGAGTTAAAAGGAAAGATGAGGAAATCACTTTAAGGCCATAACCACATGGAGTTGTCTGGCAGGAGTGAGAAATATGAAACTGAGGAGTTAGTTCGGAATTAGTAGAGTCTAGATTTAATAGGTAGACTGGAGATTATAATAATAGATTGATATAGATTTAATAGACAATACATAAAGTAATCAGATTAATCAACAGAGACATCTACATTAGAGGAAAAGTTGAGTCTATTTAAATAGACTTCTAACGTAGATAAATTGAATATTTGTTTATGTCAAAAACTGTCGATAATATTTATAACCTGTACCATTGTACCACTGTAAAGTGCAACACTGGATCAAGCCAAAATACCTGGATATATACAAGTAGCTGGGACAGGAAGTTTGTATAGAAGTGAATAAAACCACTAATAAAATGTATTTCACATTTTACAAATTCATTCCCTGGAATAAATTGCCATCACTGAAATTCAGAAGTTAAAAGACTAAGAAAATCTATTTAAATTATTTGCATCTGTTCAAACCAATTTGTCTTTTATTCTGAAATCATCACTGTTTTCTGTATAACCACCAAAAATATGTATTCATTGCCATTACGAATAATGTATCTCCTAAGAGTACGAATCTCAACCTTGGTCTCACACAAATACTGATAAATGTTATGTTGCAAGCTATTGACACCATCTGTGATTTACAAACATAACTCCCATCCTGCTCTACCTGAAACTATAACATCTTTATACTGAGATGCGGAGTAATAATTATTCACCAATATACACATTCTCCAAGCCTTACCCGTTTCTGGTTTCTCTGGAGGGCTGTCTTTCAGATATTGGTCTTCAGATGAAAGGCTCACATTGATGCCATACAGTGGGTCATCCAAGAAAGAGGGCCTTTTCAGTCTTCCAATGCCAAGAGTCTTTGACATAAAGTAGTCTTTTGTGTCAGTAATAACCTCGTCCTCGGAAAATTGGAGGCATTTCAAATTCTCTGCTTCGATGACAAGAGCCTGGGACATGTAATGCCCAGTCAAGGCTTTGGTGAGATAGTAGCCTGTACGTGTTTCACATTCCGCATTCTCGGGCATATCTGCATCTTTAACCTCTGTGCTTTCGACCTTTGTTTCTAATCCATTTAGGAGCTCAGAGAGGATAGATCTGGAAAGATGAGGGACCTCAGGTGTTATACCCTCAATGTCTTCCTTTTCTCTTTCTGAAGGAAGTCCAATCATAGACTTTTGTTTGAGTGTGCATTCATCCAGAAGACACCTTAACTGTTCCTCAGAGAGAAGTGATGTTGAATCTAACTGATGAAACAAACCAAATGTTTTAGTCAATTGCCTGAGTACACACATTTATTTTTGATAAGCTTCCAGTAATGCAATATAAATGCAAGTGCCAGGAAATCCCTTACACAAGACACCCAAATAGCAAAATCATTCATTTTAAAGGATCCAGAATTTCAGGAGAAATGCACAGCATCCCTAGAGAATAGCTTTAGAATCTATCATACCTACTAAAGTCCAGGGGAAATTCCTTCAATACTGATGGAAATAAATTTCTGCATCAAATTAACCACTAACTCTCTCTCTACACGTGGAAGTCACTTGAAATGGAGATATTAGAACAGCACCTTCAATTTTATAAGTTTGGGGACATCAAGCAGGGAAGTAGGCAAACAGCCCATTGATAAACAGCTAGAAATCCTGCCATAATCTCCAGGAGATGTTTCTCTGTTTTCCACCACTACTCAGTGTGAACCCCCATCACCACCAATTTCTTAAAAAATCTGGGGGAAAAAAAAAACACCGCAGGCAAGCAAGTCAGCCCATACCCGGGCCTGGGGATTTATCACTCCTATGTCTGTCTATAACTTTCAGTGGACAATATGACTAAAGACAGAAAAGGAAGTGCAAAGAGGTGGTACATCCTGAGATGTGTACATCCTGCTTCAAAACTACAGGTCTAGACAGAGGCCAGGAGCATTCCAATAACAGTGCATTCTGGGAGGAGGATTTGATCACAGACGTTTAATCTCTGCTTGTAAAGGCTATCAGGGCTGAGCATTTCAACCAAGATCTTAAGGATTCAGAAGCATTGTTTTCTTCCAGTGATGTTCTCAGGAAATAAAATAAATCAAATGAAAGTATAGAGCTATGTTCCACAAGAATTCAACTGAATAGCATGCCTCTTGAATTGCATCACTCTCAAAAGGAACCAAATTAAAATATATTGAAAAACACAAAATAATTTCTCTTTCTCTGAAGAATCAGCACCATTCTTTATTTATATAGTGGATTATTTAGGAAAACACTAATCCTCTTTATAGGGGCGTGCATTATCTAAGACAAAAAATCCCCATAAGAAAACCTAATCATGAATTGCAATGGCCTTAATTTCTACTTCAGTAAAGTGAAACAATGCTGTTGCCCTACTTAGTAGGACCCAGTTAGAATTCACCAACTATTCTACATGTATAAAGTATCAGGGAGGGAAGGTGTTATTGGAACCAGTATAGTTAATTCTCTATTATTGTGTAATGCTTCGAATGAAGCTAACAAAAAATAGTATGTAAAAGAAATTTTTAAAATATATTTTGTTTTAAAATTATATTTAACTTCCATATATTAAAAGCTAGTTTTCATAGTGGCAAGCACCATTATGAGTTTGAGAGTAGCAAGAAATTAGGAATATATTCTTAATAATTATCTAGGATTCAGGGCGCCTGGGTGGCTCAGTCGTTAAGCGTCTGCCTTCGGCTCGGGTCATGATCCCAGGGTCCTGGGATCGAGTCCCACATCGGGCTCCCTGCTCTGTGGGAAGCCTGCTTCTCCCTCTCCCACTCCCCCCTGCTTGTGTTCCTGCTCTCGCTATGTCTTTCTCTGTCAAATAAATAAATAAAATCTTTAAAAAATAATAATAATTATCTAGGATTCAAAATTTAGGTAATTCACCCTAAGGTTAATATACATATCAAAAAATAGGAGTTGAATTACATATTAGCAAATCCTACTTTTAATCACCAGACATTTCAGGCATCCAGATGTGGTACTTTATCCATTATTAGGAGAATTCCCTTCAAAAACCTAATCCACTAGAAAATGAAGGCAATCCTCGTATGGTAGTAGATATTTTCAAATAGTAGATACTTTCAAAATTTGCTTATATTAAACTGTTATATAAAATTGCTTATAATGAGTAGACAATTCCCTGAGATCTAGAAAGGGCCCATTGAGTGTCATCTTCATAAAACATGCTCACCAAAGGCTTATCATATGAAATCTCCAAACACTAGAAAAAAAATCACTTCATACCGGGGAAGGAGGATGAAGGATTATGCAAAGAGATCTGGGGGAGGGGGCAGAGAGGAAGAGGTGGAAGATTGGTAGATTATCTGGTACATTTGACCACTTCCACAAATAATAAAATAGATGCTTGGTAGTTCTGATAATCTATTTGGCTAGATGCACAGAAAATTAAGTAAAAGGAAAAACAAAGCAATTATGGACTCTGGGGAAAACAAAAAGCTATATGAAAAGAAAGAAGAGTAGTGTTTCAGATAGGTAACACAGAAAAATAAGCAAAAGAAAATAAGATAATTTTTACCTTTAAGACATAGTAAAAAGTTGTACAAGAAAGGATACCATAGGGGGCGCCTGGGTGGGTCAGTCAGTTGAGCATCCAACTCTTGCTTTTGGCTCGGTATCAGTTCATGATCTCAGGGTTGTAGGATCAAGTCCTGTGTTGGGCTCAAGCCCTGGGTGTGGAGCTTGCTTGAAATTCTCTCTCTCTCTCTCTCTCTCCCCCTCTCCCTGTGCCCCACCCCCCACCCCTCTCTAAGAAATTAAAAAAATGATACCATAGAATTCTACTTGCTGGGCGCCTGGGTGGCTCAGTTGGTTAAGCGACTGCCTTCAGCTCGGGTCGTGATCCTGGAGTCCCGGGATCGAGTCCCACATCGGGCTCCCTGCTCAGCAGGGAGTCCGCTTCTCCCTCTGACCCTCTTCCCTCTCGTGCTCTCTATCTCTCATTCTCTCTCTCTCAAATAAATAAATAAAATCTTTAAAAAAAAAAAAAAAGAATTCTACTTGCTTTTGCTGTAAATAATGTTTACATGGTCATCATAATATATATAGCGATGATGGAGATAACCAAAAATTATGATTTGACTATTTCGGAGAAATAGGAGAGAGAAGGGATGTTTAGAATTAAAGTTAAAATTAAATCCATTACAGGAAGCCAACATACAAATGAATAATAATACAATACTATTGTATTATTGATACAGAATTTTATATTATTGTAAACTGACATAAAACTGATCAATTAAGACAGCAAATTATTAAACAACATAGAGGTAAGTAGTTGAGGAAATATATAAAGGAATTAAAAATGCTTGACTCTGGAGAGTAAAACTAAGGGGTGGGGAAGGATGGGGCAAGGAGATACCATTTTTGTTTAAAACCCTTTAACACAACTTTTTCTTTATTACTACAACAAAAGTTAAAATTAACTTAAAATATAAAAAAATAACAAGTATATTAAAGTTTTTAAATAAAAATTAATTCAAAAATCAAAATCTGAAATATTAAAATGAAATTTCTAACCAATTATATTTTGGGCATCAGAAGCAAACTGAGGTTTCATGGAACCTGAAATTTATAATCTTGCAGCAGGAAGAGGAACTTTCTTACCTCCTTAAGAAAAAGAATACAAAATTGCAAGTAGGAAATAGGTACAAAAGTGAGTTTCTTTTTCTTAGAATGTGAGAAAGATCACAAGAAATTACTGGAGCCTTGTAAAGTCAAGTCCATCTCTTACCCTAACTCTTTAGGTCATTTACCAGAAATGTTTATATAAAAAATGTTTCCTGATTACAACCTAGCTTCCTCTCCCCACTCAAGGCTTGTACAAGTGAGGGGCCCTGAAGCTTAAGCTTCACTGGTTCCATAGGAAATCTGCTTCGGGGTGCTCCAAGATAAAACATAACACATTTGAGTCTGTGTGTACCCAAAAATAAGCTCAACTACAATCACCCTGATCCTCTGGGGGAAGCAGCCTGATGGGAAATAAAACAAAGAAGACTAGAACTTGGGCTTTGGTCCAAGTGTGGCCACCTTATGTATGTCACCCAAGGGACCCATCTCCTTCAGCGGTGAAAGGAGGGATTGAAGAAGATGGTCTCCAAATTAACCTCTAGTCCTAAGATTGATTTTTGTGAATAACCACTCTAACAATAAAAATACAAGAATAAACTTTCTATCACCTTGATAGAATTTATGAAAGCAAAACAATAACAAAAAGAGAACTTTTATTTCCTTAACTTCTTCACAATACCAATCCTAAACTCAAAAAATAACCAAACATTCCCTGGTCTCAATAAAAGTGAACCAACTATACTAAACCTTCAAATTAAGTTAATTTGATCACAGTGTTTTCTGGGTGGCAACGCAGATCAGAACTTTCCACATGAGTGGTCTTTCTCATCTTTGGATTCTCCGCAGAGACTTGCCCACAGTATAAACTCAAGAACTCGCTGTTGTGGGAATCAAGTGAATTAAGGTTGCTGAGTGGTTTGCAACAGCTACATACTCCATTAGTAGAAGTTATTTACACATGCTGCACTGGACTAAACTAGGGCTCTATCCCAAACATCCCTAATGACCCTTGATAGTTAAAGGACCGTAACCCATACCCTTCATCCAGATTGCTCCGAAACTCCTGAGCTAATGAGCTCCGTAACTGAACGACTCACAACAAGCACGGTCAAGTAACCATCTGTTCAAGTATTCACCTCAAAGTATTCATCTTTCACGCCAGTTCTAATTTTCCAGTATTTCATAAACAAGTTACTATTCATTCTATTCCTGTCTTTCACAAAATTCATCATAGTGCATCTCCGTCTTCATTTTTCCAGGCCAGAACCCAGTCTATTTACTCTCCTTCTGTGAAAGTCCCTCTCTTCCCATCCTCATTTTAATAACCCTTTTATGCACCTTCTTTCTTGCTTTAGCCAAAGCACACACATTCCATAGTCAAAAGAGTAAAAGAGATTGGATTTTTCTCGACAGAACCAGAAGATAGAATACTTGTGGTGCTAGTTTTCATGCATCTTGCTGGTCTTCTTGACACATGCGATGAAGTCTTGCGGAACAGTAACAGCTAGCCTTAATTAGGCGCCTGCTCCGGGCCAGACACTGCTCTACGCAGACGATACGTATCAATTCCTTTCATCTTCACAACAAACCTCTGAGGTAGGTACTCTTGTTATTCCTGTTTTATAGATGAAGAAAGTGAAGCACCAAGA